CCCCCCTCCAGGTGCCTCAACCCCCCTCAAAGTGTCCCCAACCCCCCCCAAAATGTCCCCAACTGCCCCCAAACTCACGTCGGGGGGGAGGGGGCGCAGTTCTCGTCCTGCTCCGCCAGGGGGCGCTGCGGGCACACCTGGCCAGGGGGCGTGGCCTCTGCGAGGCTCCGCCCCCGCGGGGTCAGCGTGTACCTGGGGTGGAGGGGTGAGATGGGGGGTCCTGGGGGGGCTCAGGTGAATCCAGGGAGCTCCCGGGGGTGTTCTGGGAGGTTCTTGAGGGTCTCGAGGGGGTTCTGAGGGGTCCTGGGAGTCCCAGGGGTTCCTGGGGGGGGTCCAGGAGTTCTGGGGGGGGGTCCCAGGGCCATCCCCAGGGGGTGTACCCAGTGAGTCTGGGGGTTCTGGGGGGTCCCGGGGGCGTCCCAGGGCCACCCAAGGTGGTCCCAGGTGGGGTCCAAGGTGAGTCTGGGGGTTCTGGGGGTTCTCAGGGCCATCATGGGGGGGTCTGGGGGGTCCCAGGTGAGTCTGGGGTCCCGGGGGTCCCCGGGGGGGTCCCGTTCCTACCGGGGGGGGCGGCCGCTGCTCTGCACGAGGCCCCGGCGCAGGAGGGGACCCAGAGCCGCCTGTGGGGGAGGGGACACGGAGGTCAGCCCCTCCCCCACCACCTTTAGGGGGGTGCAAGGGTGGGGGAGGGGCGCTCAGGTCCCTCCTGTCACTCACCGGGGTCAGGGCGTGGTCACAGAGGGGCTGGGCCTGCTGGAGAAGCTCCGCCTCTGGGAGGGGCTCCAGGCTCTGGGGGCGGGGCTTTGTGTGAGGAGGGGGAGGGGCAGGGACCTGCACCCCGCCCCCACCCCCCAGGTGTGTCCCCTCCCCCTCACCTGGCTCAGCACCAGCAGGAGGGCGTGGCTCCTGGAGCGGGGGAGGGGCCGGGACTGGCGGGGGCGGCGCTGGATGAAGGGGGAGGGGCAGAGATTGGGGGCGGGGCTTCCTCTGCCCCTCCCCCCCATGGGGACCAGTGGGGGGTTGTGGGTGGGGGAGGGGCGAGGATGGGACTCACCCTGGGCGGGGCTGGGGGAGGGTCTGGGCACCGCTCCTGCCGAGGGGGCGTGGCAGGGAGGCCCTGCTCTGTGGTATGCAAATGACATGCAAATCAGTATGCAAAACAGCTCCAGCAGGCCACACCCACAACAAAGCCCTGTCCTATCTTAGCCCCACCCCTTCAGTAGCACCTCCCACCAAAAACCCGCCCACAAATGCCCCACCCTTTGAGGCCACGCCCCCTCATCTATGCCACACCCACTTTGCACTGATGGGTGTGAAAGGGGCGGGGCTCACCCAAGCCACGCCTGCTATCCCCACCTTCCATAGCCCCACCCATCCACAGACCCCACCCACTCCAGGCCCCGCCCACCCCGGCGGTGCTGGCTCAGCCGTTGGTCGAGGCGGGCGCAGAGGGCGGGGCCAAAGTGCTGCAAGATGGCGGCGGCGCGGCCGGAATGGAGCGGGAGCGGGAACCGGGAGAGTGAGCGCAGGGCCTGGGGGGAAACACACCTGGGATACACCTGGAGAACTGAAACACACCTGGGACACACCTGGAGAACTGAAACACACCTGGGATACACCTGGAGAACTGAAACACACCTGGGGAACACCTGAGACACACCTGGGGAACCCAAAATACACGTGGGAAACACCTGGGGAACACCTGGGATACCCAAAACACACCTGAAACACACCTGGGACACACCTGGAGTACCCAAACACACCTGAGACACCTGGGGAACCTAAAAGACACCTGGGGCACACCTGATATACACCTGGAATACCCAAACCTATCTCGGACACACCTGGGGAACCTGAGACACATCTGGGGGTACCTAAAGCACACCTGAGACACACCTGGGGGAGGCCAAAATACACCTGGGGAACCCAGAATACACCTGAGATACACCTGGGGAACCTGGAACACCCCTGGGACACACCTGGGGGTGCCAAAACACACCTGGGACACACCTGGATGTACCTAAAACACACCTGGGACACACCTGGGGAACCTGAGATACACCTGGAGGTGCCAAATCCACTTTCGGGGGCTCAAAATCAGCACCCGTGGTTGCCCAAACCCACCTGGAGGAACCCAAAATTCTCTTGAGGGAGTCCAGAACCAACCTGAAGGGGGACACCTGAGCGGGGACCCCAAATCATCCACCTGGGGACCCCAAAACACACCTGGAGACACCAAAATCACCCACCCAGGGACCCCAAAACTCACCTGGGGAGCCCAAAACTCACCTGGAGAGCCCTAAACCCCCACCCAGAAACCTCCAAATCCACCTGGGCACCTCAAAATTCACCTGGGCACCCCAAAACCGCCCACCTGCGATCCCAAAGTCCACCCGGGGACCCCAAAACATACCTGGGGATCCCAAAATCGCCCACCTGGGGATCCTAAATTCACCCGGGGACCCCAAAATTCACCTGGGCACCCTAAAATCGCCCATCCGGGGACCCCAAAATTTACCCGGCCACCCCAAAATCGCCCACCCGGGGACCCCCCTCCCCACACCCACCCTCTCGTAGGTGCCCCTCGCCCACGTCCCCTGCGCCTCGTCCCGCCACTCCCGGAGCCAGCGGGCGAACAGCGGGTTGGGGTGGCCGCGGGGGCGGCGGCGGCGCCCGGAGGAGGCGGCGGCGGCCGCGGCCATGATCGAATCCTCCCGCCGCCGCCGCCGCCGCCCGGAAGTGCCCGCCCCGCGGGGCCGCTCTGGTCGCGCTCGCTGCTCTGGAAATGCGACTTGTCTGCTCTGGAGGACGCCGCTCTAGCAGCTCGGAGGTTAAACTCATCTGCTCTGGTGGGCTCCGTTCTGGGCGGCCTGGAGGCCAAACTCGTCTGCTCTGGAGGACTCCGGCCGCCCTGGGAGCCCCTAAATCTTCTCCGGGCCCCCCAAATTCTGCTCCCAACCCCCAAATTCCGCCCGAAACCCCCAAATTCTGTCCCCAGGCCCCCCAAACCTTTCCCTGTGCCCCCCTCAAATCCCAGGACGAGTCCAGCTGCAGCACAGCAAAACCTTTATTGTTTAGAAAATCATTTTAGAAACAAACTTGGGGGGGCACCCCCAAAATAACACAGACCCCCTGCGGGGGGGGA